GGGGGGACCATTAGCTAGATACCTGTAAAAAATAAAAAAATAAACTTACTATTTGATGTCTTCTTTCTTCTAAAATCTTTTTTTCTGCCCCTTACCTGTCAGTCTCTTCATTTACTTGTCAGAGCACTCTGATTAGATGGCTTAAACCCACCAATCATAGTGCTCTGAGCCTATTTGCGCGGCGGGGCAAGGCTTTATAAGGAATTAGGGAGTTATCTACTAAGCGGCTGCAAGAAAAATCCCAAACTGCCGAAGTCCCGAAATTCCGAAATGCCGAAGTGCCGAAGTTCCGAAGTTGCCGAAGATCCGAAGTTTCGAAGTGCTGAAGTGCCGAAGTTCCGAAGTGTTGAAGTGCCGAACCGAAGTGCCGAAGTCCCGAATTCCCGAAGTTCCGAATGTCTGAAGTCCCGAATTTCAGAATGCCGAACCGAACCAAAATTTTTCCCCATGCACATCCCTAGCCACTACCTAATGACCTTAAAGCAGTTCAAAGATTTATTGGTTTCTCGAACTACTATCGACGATTCATCACTGGGTTTTTCTTCATAGTAGTACCCATAACGAATCTGACTAAAAAAGGTAAAAATCCCCAATAATGGTCTGATGAAGCTCTTCAGGCATTCGAAGATTTTAAAAGGTCCTTTTCTTCCACCCCAATACTAGTCCATCCTGACCTTAGTCTTCCATTTATGTTAGAAGTCGCTGCATCAGAGATTGGTATAGGAGCAGTGTTGTCTCCGCGTAAAGAACCTGATCAACATCTCCATCCCTGTGGATTTTATTCCAAAAAGCTATCTGACACTGAAAGGAGGTATGATAGTAGAGATAGGGAACTCCTTGCTATTATTTTGGCATTGAAGGAATGGCGCCATCTTTTAGAGGGAACTCCAACTCTAATAACTATGCTTACAGACCACAAGAAAATCTCCTATATTGGAGAGGCCAAACATCTGTCTGCCAGACAAGCTTGCTGATCTCTTTTCTTGACCAGGTTTAACTATGTGCTGACATATAGACCTGGGTCAAAAAATTCCAAGGCTGATGCGTTGTCCAGACAGTCTGAACCTTTTGCATGTCCTAAGATCAGTATGACTTCTATAGCTCCTCAGCAAAGTATTATTGTTAATACTAGAATAAATATGCAGTCTCGACTGGCTTTGGCTATTTATTCCAAACAAAACCTAGCTCCTAAGAATCTTCCTGAGGGCAAGATATACGTTCCTCCTGAACACCAGAAAGAGTTATTGTTTTGTTTCCATGATAGTAAAATCACAGGTCACTTAGGTATACGCAAAAACTTCAATTTGATTTTGAAGGAATATTGGTGGTCAACTATGCATAAAAAGATCATGGATTATGTTTCTGCTTGCTGCATATTTAACAGAACCAAACTGTCTCATACTCTCCCTTATGGGTTACTGCAACCTTTTGACATACCAAATAAACCTTGGGCAAGCATTGCCATGGATTTCATAGTTGAATTGCCTATGTCTGAGAGAATGACGGTAATTCTAACAGTAGTGGACAGATTCACGAAAATGGCACACTTCATTCCGTTACCTAAATTGCCTTCCTCTCTGGAATTGGTTAAAGTCTTTGCTAAAGAGGTATTCCGTGTACATGGGATACCCCAAGAAATGATCTCTGACAGAGGTTCTCAATTTATGTCCCAATTCTTTTTGTTTTGATTCACTTATCATCCTCAAATTAACAGGGCAGCAGAAAGGTCTAATCAGATAGTAGAATAATATTTACATTTTTTTGTCTCCTCACCAAAACGATTGGGTAGATTTCCTTCCCTGGGCTGAGATTGTTCTAAAAAATTTGATTTCTGATGATCCTCCACAAAGCCCCTTCTTCTTAAACTATGGTTTTCACCCTGTGGTCCTTCCATCAGCGTTTCCTTCACGGGGATTGCCGATGGTGAATCAACATGTTGAGGACTTAAAGAAAGTCTGGGAGCAAATTCAACAATTGCTGGCTCATAAATCGTCTCTTGATAAAAAGCATGCAGATAGGCGTAGACCTGATGTCCTTGTATATTACCCGGGTGATAAGGTCTGGTTGAGTACTAAACATATCTATGAAATTTGCACCGAGATTCATTGGTCCGTATAAGGTGGCTAGACGTGTAAACCCTGTGGCGTATTGTATTGCCTCAGTCCTTTCACATCCCCAATGTTTTCCACGTATCCTTATTGAAACCCTTGACGTGTAACAGGTTCACTAGTCCTGTGGTACCCCCTTCTCCGATTCAGGTGGAGGACCAGGAGGAATTCGAGGTCAATGCTATCCTGGCCTCACTGATTTCTACAGGTTCTCTCCAATATTTGGTGGACTGGAAGGGATACGGTCCTGAGGACAGGTCCTGGGTGACTGGTTCTGACATTCATGCTCCCCGCTTGGCCCGTTCATTCCACTCTCGTTTTCCAAACCACCCTGGCTCTTCCCGCCCGGTGGTCGGTCCTCGAGCGGGGGTTCTGTCAGGTTACCTTATGTTTCAGTCAGGAACATGTCACAGGCTGGCATCTCATTGCAGGGTACTGGGGACACTCCTACTAACGTTCAGCTTGTCCATAGCAATTCTCACGCCATCCGCAATAAACCCGTCTCCTTTTATGACGCCGATGTCATGACGCTAAGAACGCCATGGCCAGCCAAGGTGTTCGAACAAGAACATTTTGGGGGCGTGGTTACCTACCTAAGTGAACACAGTATTTAAAGAGAAACCAGGGAGAGACTCATAGCACTGTTGTGATTCTTGTTTGACACAAGAGAGCATTTTCTGTATTGGTATTCTTGTATTCTGACTTTGGCTTCTTTTGACTATTCCTCTTTTTTGTGTTTCTTTGACATCGGCTATTGCATTTTAGTTGATCCTGATTTCTGGAACCCCTGACCTCAGCTTGCTTTTTGACTATTCTTTGTGTGTAGTATTAGTCTGGCCATCCTAAGGTCCGGTATACATTACTAGTAATTGCATTCTGCGTGTAGGATCCCCAAACGTTCCTGACACTTCTCTGCAATTAGCACCCTGGTAGACGGCCTGGTTTCCAATTACGTCCTGTTTAAAGATTTAGCCGCCTGCTGCTAACTTGCTATACGATGAACAGTTCAAGGTGGCCAGCGTCAATTCCTGGTCCCTGGTCAGAATGTAAACCAGAGATGTGATGAACCTGCGTGGCTAGTGGTGAGGGAGCATGGAATGGCCCTTTCCGCTAGAACCAGGAGGGCTCAGAAAAAGGATTTATTGGTTTATTAATGTTTTTCACGCGGTTTGCAAACATACACAATATTGTTTTACAAAGTTATGTGAAATCTATCCAACTATCCTATCACGAATTGACTAAACGGATTCCAAGATTCCAGAATTATTCTTCTGCAATGTTTTTCCATGATTTACAGTTAGTTAAATCTGATTGGTCATTTATACATGTTTCTCCTATGCATGCTTCTTTGAGATGTTGACAGGCTTTGTATTGGCTTTTTCACTTCATCGGAATTAACATTCACCAACTATAATTTAATTCCCTGCTATGTAAGCTGCCCCCATAGGTGCTGTTTATACAATTTTCTAGAGTAATCATGATACTTTGCACTCCTGAGTTGAACTCATAATCTTCCTATATTCATCCCAACATTCCTCAACTTTCCAGTTCCTTTCCTTAACAGACATGAAATCAGAAGTCTTATGCACACAGTTTTAACAGGTATGATTCTGGTTTCTGCAAAAAGACTGTGATTGGGAAAAAAATAAACATAAAACCAATCTATTCTCTGTATTCTTCTTCGGTAATTGCATATAAATATGACTGTATGGAACAAAGAAGGTCTGAAACCTCTACCTTCCCCCCATTGCCCCACAAGTGTCAATTGTATTTAGTAGTCCTGTAGTAGTGTGCTATGTACCCATATATTGTGTAGAGAAATAGAATTTTACAATTTAATATTTTTTTATGCAACTCATCTTTTTTCTTTTTTGCGTTACGCACCCAGTTTGGGTGTAACTGCTAGAATTTTGGCAGTGACTTTGCAATTTAAATGGGCATAATTAGTTCACTTTCCCTTACTGCTTGTCAAACATATTTTTCATTATACTTTCTGCTCTGAGCTTGCAACATCTATAGCTCGCGGCATGTGAGAACCTGTCTGTTGCCATGTGCATTTTGCTATCAACAGTTTTAAATTTGACCTCATGATTTTGTATACATTCAGGTTTTGTCCTCAAACACCTCCAGCAGCTTCCTCTTCATGACCCCAAGCAGGTGGGGCAGGGTTTGGGAATCAGAGAATATAACTATAATTATACCTAGGAAATGGTTAGGCAACCTTCAGCACTCCAGATGTTGTGGATCATATCTCCCATAATGCTCTTAAAGCCATTATCCTGGCAAAACATTAGGGAGATGTAGTCCACAACATCTGGAGAGCTGAAGGTTCCCACCCCCAACGTAGGATGTACTTATAGGAACACTTTAGTGTATTCCTAACACTAAAGCGTCCCTCTGCAGGCGTGGATTCTACCTAACTACCCCCACCCCCCTTCACCCATTAAAGAATTAAAAAACCATTTCAGTTGCTTACCTGATTTCAGTGCCAATGTCCTGCAGTTCTTCCTCCACCGACATCAAAATCGGGGATCTAATGCACGTGTTCACTATGTGCGCATACGGCCTTCCCCATAGTAATGCATGACTGAATGCTTTCCTATGGGGATTTAGAAGTTGTTGGACGTCCTTATGCAAGGTCAAACTCTGCAAAACTACAGGAAGCTACTCTAGTCTGGTAGACAGCCAATAGGGCTATGAGAAAAAGAAACACTGCACCCAGTCCACTTCAATAAAGCAAAGTTCTCTTTAAGGCATCATTTGCTTATATAAAGAGGAAGCAGCTACAAAACTAATTCTGTACTTTGTAAATAACTTTTTTACTTTTTATATCTAAAGTAGAGTTTGAGATGTTTCAGTCCACAAGCTGAATTTGAGAGTATATATTTATTTATTTATTTTTACAAAATTTATTTTTGGTTGAGCAGTTACAGACAGTATAGGTAACATTCGCTTTTCAAAAACAAGACTTGGAAAAAAAAAATGGGACCAAAGACGCACAATAACAGGCATACAGTAGGATAAGTTACCAGTCGCCAGGGCACATGCTGAACTACCAATGCACATTTTATGGTGTTGTAGACTAATGCATAACAGGTTAGGTAAGTGTATGTCAATGAAGGAACTAAATAATAACTTAAAATGCAAGCAAAACTAACTGACCACACAATTAAAATTAAAATATAACAGAATAGATTGTTCAGTAATGCTGCTTATATGCCGCTTAGACTGGAACCATCAGTGGAGTGATCTGCAGAGATCCTCAGCTTTGTGAAGAACAGTGGCTCTGTTTCCACAGGGCAGATTAGCTCATAGGTAAGAAACGACAGTTATCCAATGCCCTGACTGGGCATATGTCACAAGGGAGTGCACAGTCCGCTGATGTCGGTTGCACAGCAATACCAAGTTGGAGTACCCCTCCAGCCCCAGGCCTGCATAATAGCCAGCACCTCCTTGCCGTGAACTCGGTGACTCTTTGAGTCCATGTTCTTTCCATCTGAGAAAATGCAGAAGGCTCTTGTATTTTGCTGTCTTCCACTTCTGTGGCCAGTCTGTTGGGGTCGAACTCAACCCTGGTAGGCCAAACGTAGGATTGACTGTAGCTTTCTGTGTCAAGTCGCATGTGAGGGGCCTCCTAAGCCTCTCCCGGCAATGCCTCCACTCCTCCTCCAGTGTTGATGTTTCTCGATTAGAGTTGGCCAAAATGGGTCGAAAACTACCTACAGTTTAGTCATAGTTTGAAGTCAGGTTGGCTTGGTGTCACATCTGGCCCTGTATAGCAGGAGCAGGTGCTTCTCACCAGCCACTGCTTCTCACCAGCAGGATAATTTACAAGTAATACTCCATGTGTCAAAAGACTTTGGTGGCTCACCCCAGTGGGGACACTCACCATTATCCCGCAGCATGTATATGTTGTATTTTATCTACAGGGTTCGGGAATCCTTGAGTTTTCACTACAGCCTAGATCTCTTCGGTTATAGTGAGCGTCGAGTAAATGTTTTCTTCTATTCGGCAGATTGGATCCAGAGATATCAATAGGAAAAGAGTACAGCGTATCATCTCTGCAACTATTGGAACTGAAAGTCAGGAGCTTAATTCCATAGAAGGGAGGTTACAAGGCAAAAGTGAAAGCAAGTGCAGCCGGGATCATCGGGGGTGCTAAAGACAGTACTGGGGTTTTCAGTACTACCTTTAGCACTTGCAGGGTGAAACGCACGACGGGTGCTTTCACTTTTGCCTTTGTAACCTCCCTTCTATCAAGATTTCCGGCAAATTTTTTTTGTTTTGTTCTCTTTCACTTTTTTATACTGGTTACTTTTGTGAGGAACGTTAGTCGGCTGACAAATATGCAGGAATCAGTGTTTGTGCTTTAAACATTAGTTAGATTATATTTATTTTTGTTTCTTTAAATTTTTTCTGCTTATTCAAACACTTTTTTTGCTCTTGCCATTATTAGGAATAGTTTCACGTTATACATAGTGAATAATCAGCATTTATGGAAATAGTGACATCTAGTGGTTGTTTATATGTATTACCAGACATCTCCTGCAACATTACACATACTATTTATTGTCCAAGAGTAGAGATTGTAATCGTAATAATCCAGTGATGCAAATGTAAAATAACAGATGAAATTTGTATCTTGTAAGTCCTTTTTTATTGCACTAACAGAATTTTGTAATGACAAGTTTTGTTGAGTTGTGATACAGGGGTTAAAGGGACATATGCGCAGATAAGACACAGGTTTGATAGAAAATAGACACCATTCTCGCAGAGGGTCATAAATATCTTCTGTGAAGATCACAGAGTGAGGGGGATAAAACAGAAAAAAACAAGCAAACAGTGCAGAAGTTGGTGCTAGAAGGGGAGAATAAAAAAAATGAATGTTAGATTAAGAATTTAAGAATATGCATGGAATCAATCTATGCCGGCAGTAAATACCGTTGAAAAGAGAGTTATGTTGCACAGACTCCCTCTTGGGCCAAATTATAAATTAAATCCTCTGAAGGGGGAGCCTAGGGGGTGAATTAAATAGCAATTAGATTGAACTATTTATACTCCCCCTATTTTAATGAATAAACCAACCATGGTTTTTATAGAGGGTTTAAGATAGAACTTAGAAAAGTAATTTATTAAAATTCTATTAGCCTCAGGAACAAATTGTGCATTGCACATACACATGTGATTACCATTTAACTGTCTAACCAATGAAATCTAAGGGCTCACCCACATGGGACAAAATGCAGAGAACTTGCATTTGTAACTTTGCATCATTGACAAAGCCCAGCACAGGCAATACGCATTTAAAACAAAGTTACTTGCTTACAAAAGACACTGGAATCATCTCTGGAGCTGTCGGGATACAGAACAGAAGACACAACTATTGGCTTCAGTAGATGACAGTGGACATGTTAGCAGGAAAGTGTTAGTCTTATTTTTTTTAATTCTTTATTTTTGCGAGTTAGTGCAATCATCACAGCATGACATGTGCTTTGCATGAACAGTAAATTGAACACAAAAAAGATATGTACAGTAATACACATTGCAGGCATCAACTCAATTTTTTTGTTATGGTAATGTCTAACGGACCCTCTCTCACTTAACCTAGGGTGGTGCGAAGCGTGTCTGGGTGGGGGGGGTGCTGGAAAGAAGCTTCAGATGCCTATGCATTAGGGTCTTATCGTAGTTAGCCAGGGCTTATGAAGGCACTGTTGGTGTTATAATAGCTCTGTAGCCTTCATTGGCTTGGGGAGACATTAATGGCAGACAGACATCTAGTCAGAAGGCCTGTGTCCCATGCCAAGCGTGTTATGGAAAACTTAGAACAACTAACAAACCGCAGGTTACAGTCTGTGGGGTGGGGGGAGAGGATAACTAATCAAATAACAGAACCATTTGCATACGGAACCAGTATAGAGAAATTTAAAGCATGTTTAACACACAACAAGTATGGTAGAATGTGCGGGACCAAATGTTGGATTCATAGGCGTGCGCAGCCTATTGCATTAGGGTGTGCACCCTAAAGCACAAACACATGCCGCGTGTATATGTATGTGTGTATATACATATATATATATATATATATATATATATATATATGTATATACACACATACACACACACACACACACACATATATATATATATATATATACACACACACATACATACACTGCTGTGTGTGTGTGTGTGTGTGTGCTGCGTGAGTGTGGTTTGAGGGTGTTGTGTGTGTAAGGGTGCTGTGTGTGTGTAAGGGCACTGTGTGTGAGGGTGCTGTTAGTGTGATGTGTGTGTGAGGGTGCTGTTTGTGTGGTGTGTGTGTGTGAGGGTGTTTTTGTGTGTGTGTGTGTGTGTGTGTTTGTTAGGGTCCTGTTAGTGTGCTGTGTGTGTGAGGGTGCTGTGTGTGTATTTGTGAGGTTGCTGTTTCTGTGCTGTGTGTGAGAGGGTGCTGTGTGTTTGAGGGTGCTGTATGTGTGTGGGTGCTCTATGTGCAAGGGTGCTGTATGTGTGTGGGTGCTGTGTGTGTGTGTGTGGGTGCTGTATGTGTGTGCTATGTGTGTGTGGGTGCTGTATGTGTGTGAAGGTGCTGTGTGTGTGTGTGGGTGCTGTATGTGTGTGTGTGTGTGTGTGTGCTGTGTGTGTGTGCTGTGTGTATGTGGGTGCTGTGTGTGTGTGTGTGTGTGTGTGTGTGTGTGCTGTATGTGTGTGCTGTGTGTGCGTTTGTTGTATGTGTGTGAGGGTGCTGTATGTGTGTGTGTGTGTGCTGTGTGTGTGCTGTATGTGTGTGAGGGTGCTGTATGTGCTGTGTGTGTGTGTGTGTGTGCTGTATGTGTGTGTGCTGTGATTGTGGGGGGTGGAGGTGGGGGTACATTACTTAATATCCCCCCTCCCTTCTTACCTTATGTAGGGAGGGGGGATTCTTGTTACTGCTGCTTTCCCTGGTGGTCCAGTGGAGAGTGAACTCTAGCCCCTGTGGGGGTAGAGTTCACTCTCGCGAGATCTGAGCATTGCCGTGGCAACGCTCAGATCTCGCGAGAGGAACCCGGTGGATTGTGGGGGGTGGAGGTGGGGGTACATTACTTAATATCCCCCCTCCCTTCTTACCTTATGTAGGGAGGGGGGATTCTTGTTACTGCTGCTTTCCCTGGTGGTCCAGTGGAGAGTGAACTCTAGCCCCTGTGGGGGTAGAGTTCACTCTCGTGAGATCTGAGCATTGCCGTGGCAACGCTCAGATCTCGCGAGAGGAACCCGGTGGAGCTGCTGGTTGAGCTCCCCGGGTCCTCTCCTGCCTTACTCCATGCTGCAGTGGGAAGGGAGGCTGAGAGCAGAGTGCGCCGGCTCTGCATGAGCCGACAGGGGAGATCCTGAGATCTCCCCTGCCGGTCTCACTCCATAGGCGTGCCGCGGGGATTAGGGTGTGCCCATGCACACCTGGCACACCCCGTGCGCACGCCTATGGTTGGATTCAGGTAGGTAAGGTAGGTGCCTGAAGCGATCCGCCTACAGTGACAACAGGAGTTATATCCGCAACAGTCCAAGTTGGTCGTTCTTGTCTCAGCGGTTCATCCACCGGTATGCCCAGGTTTTGAAGTAATGCTGGTTCCTAAGTGTTAGTCTTATATTTATATATTTTCAATACATTATTATTTTATTTTTAATTGCATATTTTTTATCAATTACCAACCAATTAAAAAAAAAATGTATAGTTGGTAATTTTATTCTCTTACCACATTATATAATTTATTTCTTGTATTGAAAGTAACCTAGATTTTACACATGGCGTGTTATATGTACAGTTCGTTCTAGGGTCTAAGACACAACTGGGTAATTCCTAACTCCTGGACCGGTAGGGATGCCTTGAATACTGTTTTGGAAACCCCTTTTTGTAATTTGCATGCACTGTAGCTAAATAATAAACATAATTAAATTACTGTACAATTTGGCAAAATAAAATCCCAAACCCTAAACTAAAGGTTTGTTAGCAAAAAATAGTAAAAAAAAAAAATCCCAGTTGTATATATCGCACTTCAAACATAAAAAGCATTATTTTCTGTCGAGTTCTAAGCGCGCGAGATGTAGTACGTGTGAATTGTTGATCTCTGAAAACATGGCCGTTTCCCAAGCATATTGCTACCAGAGCTGTGTGACAGGCGGTGGTGTGGCAGCACACTCCTCAGCGGCGTGTAGTATGTAGAACTCGCTTTCTCCCAGAACGTACTTTTACAATTGCATCAAAAGGCGACGGTTTGAACATTAGAGAAACAGAAAGAGATGAAAACCCGCTGGACTTTGTAGTATGAAAACGATGTGGTTAAATCTATTAGCCGTAAAGTGAAGGACACATGTCCTGTTAGTGTGAATGGTCTGACAGTATACCTCAGTAAACGGTAAGTACGTGATATACCTGCGAAGCTTGAGAAACAGGTACACTGATACAAGACTCCTTAATCCATAGTGGTGCCATGTAGTTCATTTTTAACTCTTGTAAAATACTTAATAGTACAGCACAGAATGCCTCACATCCTTGTTGAGAAACTGGTAAATTTACAAACATTTATGTGCACCGTTATTATATCAGATGTACATCGTGCCATTACCATTCCATTGGTAGAATGTTGACCGTGTTCACTTAATTCTTGTTAAAGCTAACCCAGGCAAAATAACATTTAAATAAAGCATGTTCATCTATGAAGTTTCATGTGCAAATCACCAGGTTGCACAGAAGCTGTAGTGAGTTTTCACTAGATCAGTACATTTTTCAGGCAGCAATGTTCATTTATCATTCTATTTAGCATTGCTGAGTTTATCACGTAGGTGAACAAAGCTTTGCAGCAGATTTGTTTGGAAAGCCAGCAGCTGAAATACAATTTATAGAAACCTAAGTTATGATGTACAGCAGTAGTGTGAGTGGGGACCAGAAATGGAGGGTTTGTACTGTCTTTTTGAGGGGTAAAGTATGTGTGCCAGGTACCACTTTTACTGAGCAAGATAAAGCTGTACGATTAAAGGGAGGTTGTAATTGAACATGACACTTTCAAATAGATAATTGTTTATTTTTCAGAACTCTATGAAGAATATGGAAAGTGACATCCACAAGGGTAAGAGAGGGAAAGTGTGTGTGTGTGTGTGTGTGTGTGTGTATATGTGTATATGTGTGTGTATATATATATATATATATATATATATATAATATTATTATTTTTTTGGGGGGGGAGAACACGTTATCCTTTTGGGATTTGAAGCCTGTAAATTAGATCATTGGCCTATTAAGGTTCTTGCCAGATAGTTCATCATATTCCTGGTGCAGTGTTTCCCTTGTCTACACGGCTCCCTCACAGTACCTTAAATAATGGCTGGTATTAACTACACCTGTTAATGTGGTGAATGAGAACATAAAAATGTGTTGATTTGCTGATTCAGTGTTAATATAACCCATACATATTCAGAGCACAATGTAAATATTTTATGTCTGCAAGGTCACGTTCATTAGTTCTCCTCTCCATAATTTAATGAATAAACACCAGTGTTTCATAAACTGTTTATAAAGAATATGGATGCACGACATAATCTTTGGCTTTTATTCTGTTAGGCAAAGTGACTTGTTTTCAATATCCTTTGGCAGTACTGGCAAACTTATTCAAAATTGCTGATATCTATTCAAACCTCTTACTGAACGGTTGGTGGTGTCACCTGTGCATTACTTTTCATATTGTTTAGTTTGACTGTTAAAATGCAATGTGGGGGCCCTTAAACTCGGGCAGCACCAAGATATACATACACCCCAATGATTAGTGATGGTTACACTTCCAAGTAACAGCTGCTTCCATTTTTATTCAACTATCTCCCAAAGCACTTCTGTATCCCCATTCAATTTCCTGACATGTCATTATTGGGGTAGAGAGAATATATGTCAGCACCTGCAATTGTTGTGTAACCAGGGCTGGATTAACATGGGGGCTGATGGAGCTGCAGCCCCATGCGCATGCCCATGGAATAGGCCCATTGATCTAAAAAAAATACACACTACTCTTCACATACCCTTGCTTAAGTATGGAAACTTAAGAGGGATGTATGGGAACAAAACTTGTGTGAACTGACTGATCATGAAATTAGTTAGGGTAATGCTGACCTTGGTCTCTCTAACACCGTGGCATGTCCCGTTTCTTCTACACTCACTACATACACATTTTCTCTGTCTCAGACTATTTAACAGGAGTTTCTGCCTGCTAGTAAGAAGGTTAGGTGAAAAGTAGACATGTGAGTGCTAGGGGACTATACTTCGAAAGCGTGGAGCGAGAACATCATTAGACGCATTTATGCCAGGCTCAGGGTGCTGTCTGTATAGTATGCCCTTAGTTGTCCAGCCTGCATGGCTGGCATGCAACCGAACATGCATTCATGCCAGGCTGGCCTTCTAATTCTTTGGGCATGTTTGCCCCCTTTCGGCAGTTCTGGTTACATGATTTGCGTCAGTGGCACACCCTTTTACTCTGCCTATTGACTTCCCGCTTCACTGGTCACTGCTGTTAGGGGGTATGGATTTACTTGAAAGAGGAAATTAGAGAGAGATTAGCATAGGGTATGTTAATTATTTATTTTATTATATATAGCTGCATCCTATGAGTTTCCCTCTAGTACCATCTGTATCAGATACATGACTCTTGGGAGGTATGACTGTTTTAGGGTTTTTGGTCGATAAGATTCTGTAATTACGCACCTTCATAATTGTCAGCACCAGGCCCACTGCGCTCTTAATTTGGCCTTGAGTGCAACTCTCCCTGTTCTTTGGTAAGTAGGTTGCCATAAGTTTAGAAGAATCCTAAGTCTACTGTGTGTCTATATATAAACTATGCATAATAGCGAGTTGCATATGTAAGAATCCTAACTCTAGTCTACAGGTGATACTCCAAAAATTAGAATATCGTGCAAAAGTTCATTTATTTCAGTAATGCAACGTAAAAGGGGAAACTAATATATGAGACGCATTACATGCAAAGCAAGATAGTTCAAGCCGTGATTTGTAATAAGTGCGATGATTATGGCTTGCAGCTCATGAAAACCCCAAATTCACAATCTCAGTAAATTAGAATATTACATGCAATCAATAAAACAAGGAGGATATATAGATCAATATCGGACCTCTGAAAAGTATACGCATGCATATGGACTCAGGACTTTGCTTGGGCCCCTTTTGCAGCAATTACTGCCTCAATGCAGCGTGGCATGGAAGCTAGCAGCCTGTGGCACTGCTGAGGTGTTATGGAAGACCAGGATGCTTCAATAGCGGCCTTCAGCTCTTCTGCATTGTTCGGTCTCATCTTTCTCTTGGCAATGCCCCATAGATTCAGCACCCCATGGGGTTCAGGTCAGGCGAGTTTGCTGGTGTCAAGGTTAGGTTCCCCAACACGCTAACTATAGGACTAACAGGCAACCCAAGCTAGACGTATTACCGGTCCTTAAAGTGACCGGACTTAATGTGAAGAAAAGTAAGGAGAGTAACAGAATAATCAGACGAGCCAAGGTCAGGGCAGGGGAAGGAAGACCAAACGAGAAACTAAGCCAAGGGTCAAGGAAGCCAGAAAATACAGATAACCAGAGACAAGCCGAAGTCAGATACCAGGAAACACACAAGTATACAGAACGCACTCTCGGGCTACAATAGACCACGACAGGGCAAGAAAGTGATGTAGGAGGGAGGTATAAATAGGGCTAAGAGAGATCTGATAGGCTAGAGAAGAGAATAGGAGAGATTATAAAAGGGTTACCAGGATTCATGAAATTATGGTAGTATCGCTTTAAGAGCTCAGCGGCAAGCCGAGCGCGCATGTGCGCGTCACTGGTTGCACGCACCTAGGCACGTGTGGAAGCTGGAAGCCATCAGATCCTGGAGGAGCAGAGCAGATGGCGGGACCGGAGCAGCGTGGGCCGCGAGGAGGTATGACAGCTGCCTAGTCAAGCACAGTAATCCCACGGTCATTGAACCAGGCTTTGGTGCTTTTGGCAGTGTGGGCAGGTGCCAAGTCCTGCTGGAAAATGAAGTCCGCATCCCCATAAAGCTCGTCTGAGGAAGGAAGCATGAAGTGCTTCAAAATCTTCTGGTAGACGGCTGTGTTGACCCTGTACTTAATGAAGCACAGTGGACCAACACCAGCAGATGACATGACTCCCCAAATAAACACACTGTGGAAACTTCACACTGGACTTCAAGCATCTTGCAGTGTGCGCCTCTCCATTCTTTCTCCAGACTCTGGGTCCTTGGTTTCCAAATGAGATGCAAAGTTGCTCTCATCAGAAAAGAGGACTTTGGACCACTGAGCAACAGACCAGGTCTGTTTTTCTTTAGCCCAGGTAAGACGCTTCTGACATTGTTTGTTGTTCAGGAGTGGCTTGACAAGAGGAATACAACATCTGAAGCCCATGTCCAGGATCCGTCTGTGTGTGGTGGCTCTTGATGCAGACTCCAACCTCAGTCCATTCCTTGTGAAAGTCCCCAACACTTTTGAATGGCCTTTTCCTGACAATCCTCCCCCTGCTGCTTGTGCACCTTTTTCTTCCACACTTTTCCCTTCCACATAACTTTCTATTAATGTGCTTTGATACAGCACTTTGGGAACATCCAGCTTCCTTCGCAATAACCTTTTGAGGCTTTCCCTCCTTATGGAGGGTGTCAATGATGGTTTTCTTCTCAACTGTCAGGTCAGCAGTCTTCCCCACGATTGTGATTCCTACTGAACCAGACTGAGAGACCATTTAAAGGCTCAGAACACCTTTGCAGGTGTAATGGCTGATTAGAGTGGGACACTGTGAGCTAGAATATTGTACCTTTTCACAATGTTCTAATTTACTGAAATTGTGGATTTTGGGTTTTCATGAGCTGTAAACCATAATCATTGCACTTATGACAAATCAAGGCTTGAACTATCTTGCTTTGCATGTAATGCGTCTATCTCATATATTAGTTTACCCTTTTACGTTGCATTACTGAAATAAATGAACTTTTGCATGATATTCAAATTTTTTAGTATCACCTGTGCGTGTGTGTGTGTATATAAACATAAAATATGCATAATAGTGAATTGCATTTGTAATGTTTGGAATTTTAATACGTATACTAGCTGTTTCCTCTCTCTCTCTCTCTCTCTCTCTCTCTCTCAGGTCAATGTCAGGAGCCATTTCTTCAGTCAGGTCTGGCCATCACCGCTGCAGCATGTTGGAATGTGCTCAAATTTCGTCGCTTTATTTATTTCCCTCAAGTACTAGAATTTTTAGAATGTGTTTACAGAACAGCACCAGATTTACTTCATTATCGACACTTTGCCAAACTGGCCCTTGGCCTGCGTGCTACGGTGTGTACAGCACTAAATATAGTATGTGTATATATTATTAAAAAAAATTTAATGATTTGATGTACATAGAATAGGGAAATTATGTTAATTTTAGTGGAGGCAAAGCATGTTTTTGAATGTAGTATGTATGTAATACAAATATATCATAACCCCAATAATAGCAATATATTATAAGCAGGATTATTTACTAAAGCATGAACTTTTGGGAACTGAAAGATAATTTGCAATACGAAGTCAAAATAAGCAAACTGGAAAAAGTCAGTTTAAAAATACAAACTTTAGGCCAAACTGTTTTCAGTTAAAATTTGATATTTACTTTAAAAGGACACTGTAGGCACCCAGACCACTTCAGCTCATTGAAGTGGTCTGGGTGCTGTGTCCCTTTGCACTTAGAGCTGCAATGTAAAACATTGCAGTTCCAGAGTACTACAATGTTTACATTGCAGCTCTAAGTCTGCCCTCTGTGGCTGTCTAACAAACAGCCACTGGGGGCGCTTCCAGATTCGTAACAGACTTTTCGCCCATTATTTGACGCTGGACGTCCTCATGGACCTCCAGTGTCAGATTTTCTCTATTGAATAACGCTTTCCAATGGGGAGGTCTAATGCGCGAGCGGCTATTTCCGCAAATGCGCACTAGGTCTCCCCCGCCGGCTGACGTAGGCAAGGGAGGCGTGTGGGCAGAGCCTGACCCAACGCCGAGGGACACCGGCGCTGGATTCAGGTAAGTAGCTGAAGGGGTTTTAACCCCTATAGCGACATGGCATGGGGGCACTCCAGGATTCTCTAGTGCCAGGGAAATGGGTTTGTTTTCCTGGCTCTGGAAAATCCCTTTATTATCCAAAAATTCACACTTTAGAATCAAGAGTTGTCTCTGCAATGTCCAGTAGTGAATAGATTTGTTTCTCTGCATATTTAATACATCCATCTGTTTTTCTTTCTTCTTACAGATTATATTAGATGTCATTGCCAGAGATGGCACCAATAAAGAAACATGGAGGATGTTTCAGCAATTATTTTCAAATTCTCCGTTAGAAGCTGCGCCACATGTGGTGAGATCACAAAGTTATTGTTTATCATTTTAGCTAAATTACCATAATACATTTGCCTTTAGGAACAGATTGTAAAACACCAGTAAATGAAAAAGCTGCTAGTATCTTAAATGCAGTAAAAAAAAATGTGCAGAAAGACAAAACTACATCGGTTGAATTTATTAATAACAATTAGTACTACTTAAAAAGCAAAATATTTTTGGCTCTTTTATAAATGACTTATATTTGTCTCTCATTCCGTACAAGCAAAATCTCAATGTATTCTTTCCAGTAAAATAGTAAATTATAAAAGGGGAAAAAAAGCTCCAATCAAATTTACGCAACTGTCTTAACCTCTAAAATGTAGACTTTCACAGTAAAATATCAGAAATGTTATACAAAGGACCACTAAAGGCACCCAGACCACTTTATCTCAATGTAGTGGCCCTGTAATTTTAACCCTTCAATGTAGAACAATGCAGTTATGTAGAAACATTGGATTGGCGAAAAATCCAGATGACGCATGGGCAGTAGCACTGAGAGAGGCAAGGGGAGAAAAACAACTAATAAGCAACTGGGACACTATAGTCTAAGGAACAAACTGTAGTGTTACTGTAAAGAGAATCAACAGTCAAAAATTGACCTCCTGTTTTTTTTTTTTTGTTTTTTTTTTGGGGGGGGTTGTCTAGACACCATAGTTACAACAACTGTTGTAGTGCTTATATGGTGTCAGGAGTAACATGGAGCCCTCCCGATGGAAATTAGTCATACCATTTTTGAATGACTTGATGTTTGTATGGGACCCCTGGACACCTCTATTCTTGCCCCCTCTTCATGTATCACACTACTGGACATTACTATTTCCACATTATCTCAACTCCTTCTATTTTTGGACAGAATTCATTGTCTGGGAGTATCAATTGACAACCCCACCCAGTGAATGTTGTCTAAATATGGAGGAAATTAACATATCTAATGCGGCAGTGGAACATTAGGTATATATGAGGAGGGGACTGGACCAGAAGTGGTAAGCATCAGGCTGTTTGAAAATGGTTTGACTACTTACTATGGAAAGGCACCAGGGGACTGCTGGCAACACAACCACTACAGTAAAGCCATTTGATGCATTCATATAAGTGATGCATTTAAAGCTATGCAAACAAATTAAGGAAAATAAAATGATTCTGTCCATGTTCTGTTATTGCACAAATAAGAGAGAGGCTCCACCAGTCAGGACTCTTTCATTCTGTTCAGCTGAGTCTGATCTCATTCCATATATCCCTGCAAGCAGCAGTTTATGTCTAAGTATATTCCTCACCCGCCATTTATAATGTGGCACATACATGGCTAATAGCTTGTGTAATTGTTGCACAACATGAACCAGGCCGTAGCATTAGCTCAGTTGAAGCTCTCTTTCTATTGGCTTATGCATGCAATGCGCACAAACTGCATACACAAGTTTAACAAGTTGAAAAATGCAAAGTTATGCACTTCGGCGTAAAGAATACACAAGCAACGTATACCCTTAATGGAAGCGAATTAGGGATAACAATACATGAAAAGGACTTGGGAATTGTTATAGACAACAAACTATGCAGCAATGTCAATCAGCAGTGGCCAAGGCCAGTAAGGTATTGTCATGCATGAAAAAGGGCATTCATTCTCGGGACAAGAATATAATTTTGCCTCTTTATAAATCACTGGTAAGACCCCATATTGAATATGCTGTGCAATTTTGGGCACCTGTTCTAAAGAAGGATATAATGGCACTTGAAAAAGTGCAGAGGCGGGCTACAAAATTAATAAAAGGAATGGAACATATCGGCTATGAAGAACGGTTAACAAATTTAAACCTATTTAGTTTAGTAAAACGTCGCCTGAGAGGGAATATGATAACATTATACAAATATATTCGGGGCCAATACAAACCATTGTGTGGAAATCTATTCACAAACCGGACTTTACATAGGACACGAGGCCATGAGTTTAGACTGGAAGAAAGAAGATTTCGTCTAAGGCAAAGGAAAGGGTTTTTTTACTGTAAGAACAATCAGGATGTGGAATTCTCTGCCTGAGGAAGTGGTTTTATCAGAGTCCATACAGATGTTCAAACGGCTACTAGATGCATACTTGCAAGAACAGAATATTCAAGGATATAATCTTTCAATGTAGGGTAATAACTGCTTGATCCAAGGATAAATCTGACTGCCATTCTGGGGTCAAGAAGGAATTTTTTTCCTAGCTTGTTGCAAAATTGTGCTTCAAACTGGGTTTTTTTGCCTTCTTTTGGATCAACAGCAAAAAACAGATGTGAGGTAGGCTGAACTTGATGGACGCAAGTCTCTTTTCAGCTATGTAATTATGTAATTATGTAACTATGTAACGAAATTGACACAGCAGGAGGAAGCTAAAACTCTTCTTTTGGTATGTTAAAGCCAGGGGAACTATCTTATAGACTTAGCATTTTTACATATTTGCATTTATAATACACTCACATTATTGAGATATCCAACATTGTTTTGTTGCATAAAGTGATCTTTTAAGCACTACCAAGGACGTCCTTTTTCTCCTTTTAAAGGGAACCTGCCATGCACTAAAAATGTATGCTCATTAGAATTTTTTTTATCTTGCTAGCAAACTTATAGATTAGGAGAAAAACCTATTTTAAAAAAAATGCTTTTTCTCCCAGCTGTCAGTCAATGCCTTGTGGTTCCCAGGCATTCGCTGTCAAGGGAGAGCAGAACTGATTTCCCACAGGAGATCCCTCTGCACTCCACCCATGGCATGTGCTGTGGTTGCTGTGGAAACTCCCTATTTGGCTAGTGAGTATAGACGTGACATCACTCCTTCTGATGCTGGCACCGATACGTCCTAAGCAGGGCAAAGCAAAGAATACCTTGGGAAGAGCGGAGGGCGGCCTGGAGGTGGATGTTACACAAAGAGTAAAAACCACAAAGCGGCGCTGCAAGAGGAAAGGTAAGAAAACTTTATATATTACATTGAATACACCATGTATACTTGTGATATATGGTGTATTCAATGTACACGGGAGCGATTTTAAAGTTTTTTTTTTTTCTTTTTTTTTTCATAACAGGTCCACTTTAAAATGCAGTATGCAATACCCATAGTTTACACAATCTGTCTGAGCTGAATATCTGCTTGTGTTTCCTCAGACACACAGGGCCCTCCAAAAGGTGCAATCAGCTGACTTAAGCTTCCGAAGAATGGTGAAGAGGCTTTTTAAGGATGAAGAATTTTGTAAGAGTTACATGAATGTGAGTAAACTCGGGTGTTCACTACTTGCAAAAGAAGTTAGTATCACATTTTAACTGCTCTTGGTAAATAAAATGTTGTGTGTTGTGCAGGAACAAGTTGCCCTAGACTATGGAGAACCATTTGTTGCTATGCTTCAGAATCTTATGAGAGAATTTTTAGTCAGACTCAACAGTGCCTTATCTGAAGATAAAAGCCAAAAGGTATATTAACACACTATACTCTGCCTCTATACCTTATCACAGTGCTTTTAGGTCACATTTTATTTTCACTTACTCTGTTATCTATTGGCTAGCCCCTAATTGAGGGTCATTGCCTTTATCACTCTGTTAAGCACAGTCAAAACATTACTATTTTGTGTTATTTTAATGCATGCAAATGTTTGTGTTTTTTTGTTAAAGGACCACTATAGTGCCGGGCTCTAGGGGGAGGAAGGGGTTCAACTTACCTCTTTCTCCAGCGCTGGGTGGGGAGCTCTCCTCCTCCCTCTTCTTCCGTCACCAGCTGAATGCGCATGCGCGGCAAGAATCCGCACGCGCATTCAGCCAGTCCATAGGAAAGCATTCTCAATGCTTTCCTATGGACGCTGGCGTCTTCTCACTGTGAAAATCACAGTGAGAAGCACCTCTAGCAGCTGTCAATGAAACAGCCACTAGAGGCTGGATTAACACATAGGTAAACATAGCAATTTCTCAGAAACTGCTATGTTTACAGAAAAAAGGGTTAATCCTAGCTGGACCAGGCACCCAGACCACTTCATTAAGCTGAAGTGGTCTGGGTGCCTATAGTGGTCCTTTAAAGTTTCCCTTCGTTTTCATACATAATATCGACTTATGCAAAATGTCTCTTAACTAAAGAATTTTTTAAAATATATAATTTGTTGTTTTTAAATGATTATTTCCTGAACTCTGCGAGTGTAATGCTGGTGGCAGCCAAACCGTTAAAGCTTGTTAGAATAACTCTTCCCTTACTTGCTCCACAATGATCTAAATAAGTGTCAGAGCACTTGGATCATTATGATGGACCTATAAGATAAGCAATTTATTTCTATCACTCACTATAAGTGCTGGGCAGATGCCAGTTAGTCACAGCCTACTTTAATTTTCAATTATAATATGATACCGCACTCAAAATTTAGATGCCAAAAAAAACCCTCACTGTTTATGCTGTGATTATAACAGGTTATATAGAAGTAACCCTGGCACTCAATATACACACTATCACATAAATAAAGGGGTAATTCCCAAAAGGACAGCTCTCACCAGGTTGAAGATCCTTTGCTGTATGTAAATAGATGGAACTGTGATATTGGTGATGCTTGTGCAGATCTGTAGTATTTGAGATGTCTGTCATGAAGCTGTTCCTGAGGGATGCCTGGGCTGTTGCAAGCTTCAAGCAACTTTATTTATAATTAAACTATATACATTATCAGAAGGGCCTTAAAACCCATCTCTTCAGGAAAGCTTATGGCCTCCCAGAGTAATCTCTACCTTACATACCTGTCTCCTGCTCTCTCCTATGGGACAGTGCTTTGCTCTCTCCTCCAGCTCTGCTTCACTCCTACTTGATATTTCCTGTCCGAATGTTTCTAATACCCTACCTCCTATAGTCTGTAAGCTTGTTTTGAGCAGGGTCCTCTTCAACCTATTGTTCCTGTAAGTTTTCTTGTTATTGTCCTATTTATTGTTACATCCCCCCTCTCATATTATTGTAAAGCACTACGGAATCTGTTGGCGCTATATAAATGGCAACAATAATAATAATTATCGCAACAATCAATTCCAATATGTGTAAATTGTTTTGTATTAGATCATCTGGGAGAATATTAGTTTGGCACAATTGTAAATATTCTCCATACAAAAGGTCATTATGGAAACTCTACCGTAATGGGATGTTCCCATGTGTGTTAAGGGCAAACATAGAATGTGACAGCAGATAAGAACCATTCAGCCCATCTAGTCTGCCCAATATTTCAAAATACTTTTAATTAGTCCCTGGCCTTATCGTAAGTCTAGGATAGCCTTATGCCTATTCCACGCATGCTTAAACTCACTCCTCCTCAAATTCAAATGGCACACTGACCGCAGTCCACTCTTTCAAATACTTGGGTATGATGTTAGGCCCCAATCTATCTTTTGGCCTCACATAGAAAAACTTGCATCTAAACTTTATCCAAAACTAGGTGCCCTGTACAGAAACAAATCCTGCATAAGCCCTACAGTAAAGGAAAAGATTGTACAGCAAATGGTGATCCAATCATTGATTATGGGGATGTAGTATATGCATCTGCACCTCAATACATTGTATAACTCGTTCTGCCAATTTATGCTACAATGTAATTACAGGACCCACCATTGTGACATGCTAAAAGAACTAAACTGGCTGTTGCTGGAATCCAGACGCACCCTTCATATTTCCAGCCTTGTGTTTAAGAGCTTTTCTGGGAAACTCCCACCCTACCTGAGCAAAATGCTCTCCTCAGCTTTTTCCACCTCCTATAACCTCTGATCCAGTACCAGCACTTTATTTAGTCTACCTCAATACCAAAAGAAAGCGGCCCGATCCTCCTTCTCCTCCAGAGCACCGCAATTGTGGAACGATCTCCCGCACACTTTAAAATCTTCCCAAAGCCTAGAGTCCTTTAAGAGATCCCTCTCTACATACCTCAAAACAGTATGCACGTGTCATGGGTGATTATATATTTCCTACCTGTTCTATGGTAAATTTCTTATATATTGTGTATTAATATTGTTTTTGTATTTTATTGTACCCTAATGTAACAATGCAATGTTTTGTGGACCCAGGACATACTTGAAAACAAGAGAAATCTCAATGTATCTTTCCTGGTAAAATATTGTATAACTAATAATTGTGTTAACCTCTACCACTTCAGCTGGAAGGCTATTGCATGCATCAACTACCCTCTCAGTAAAGTAATACTTCCTGAAATTATTTTTAAACCTTTGCCCCTCTAATTTAAGACTATGTCCTCTTGTTGTGGTAGTTTTTCTTCTTTTAAATAGTCTCCTCCTTTACTGTATTGATTCCTTTTATGTATTTAAATGTTTCTATCATATCTCCCCTGTCTCGTCTTTCCTCCAAGCTATACATGTTAAGATCCTTTAACCTTTCCTGGTAAGTTTTATCCTGCAATCCATGAACCAGTTTAGTTGCCCTTCTCTGAACTCTCTCTAAAGTATCAATATCCTTCTGGAGATATGGTCTCCAGTACTGTGTACAATACTCCAAGAGAGGTCTCACCAGTGTTCTGTACAATGGCATGAGCACTTCCCTCTTTCTACTGCTAATACCTCTCCCTATACAACCAAGCATTCTGCTAGCATTTCCAGCTGCTCTATTACATTGTCTTCCTACCTTTAAGTCAACTGAAATAATTACTCCTAAATCCCTTTCCTCAGATGTTAAGGTTAGTAGGGTATCAAATATCCTATACTCTGCCCTTGGGTTTTTACGTCCAAGGTGCATTATCTTGCACTTATCCACATTAAATGTCAGTCCCCTCTCCAAATGAGTTTGCCATGAGCTCCTGGAGGAGCCTGCTTGCCAGCCTCCTGCCCACAGACTATGGGTCCTGCAGGGAAACCTGTAAAAGACTACCAAACTTGACCAACCGTTAGCACTGATTTCATGGAACAGTTTTAGGCATAGGACCATGTGCACGGTCGGTCAAAATTATGACTTCCAGGAAATTCCTGAACCCCTGAATCGATCTGGGACCAAACTTCTGGAATAAAAGGGAATCATGACAAGTCACACATGTCATGTGTCCTTATGGGGTTAAGGTACTTTTTGGGGTTTCATAAAATTTAATTTTATTTCTGTGCTTAGAGATAATTAGATTACATTAGTACAGTTCCTAATTCAATGATCTCACAAGCACAGAGGAGGGATTCTATTGCTTGTGTATGGGAGGGTCTCACTGTATGACTCTGTTTTATTGGTTTATTCACTTTGTGTCCCTGTGCCCAACAAGGTCCACCTGGGTGATGCCCTTGTTGGGAAACTTGCATAAAAGGCCAGTGTGCCTCCATTAAAATCTATTCCAGCTTACACTCTAAAACTGTGTGTCGTCCTGTTATTGGAGGGAAAGAAAATTTACTCCTGTGTTTGCTGTTCAAGCTTGCAGGAGATTCAACGGGGAAAGTCCTTGTAAGGACTAGAGCTAATTCCCCATTCGGCTCCAGGAAGGAGCGGTTCCAGGGCCCCTGTCAAGCCACAGTGACTGTGGGCAGAAGTGCTGCGGTTTGTCCCCTGTTCCAGCTAGGAAGCGGTCCTCTGGCAGAGGTACCCAGCCGGGGTACAGGGATGTCCATTACAGTAACTAAGACCCCAAATACCTAGGATATACACATCCACTTGTTAGTATTGTAATGAAGTACATCAATGGAATATTGTACTCAAGCAGAGATAGAACTCTCTTTACAGGCAATTAAGGGTAGACACTCCCGCATATGCGGTTTAAGATCAAATCATTATAAAGAAGCATACACACCAGCAGTGTCATATGTGAAAATGTATGTGGTGTCATCTAGTGGGAACCCCGCTTCTTGTCGGGTAGCGGATCGTAAAAGGTCAACAAAGTTGAGGGTATAGGGAGAGTTTGAGAACCAATCGGACCAATCCTGGTCAGAACTGTACACTGTATGGTGGGCATAATATACCTTATTAAGAAATTATCAATTAGAGAAATAATGACATATTTTCAAAGTGGCATTTGTACTATACAGTAGATATATGATAGACTTCAGTCTTGATATTCTTGGTTATAGACTAAACGCGTAGACTCCTGGTCTATCTCCTTCATACTTTGAACTCCTTCACCCGTCAGCAAATCCCTGCTACAGAATCAGGCAGTGGTTTAGAACCAGCCGAAGTGGTCACACACAACTTACCTTTGGTGGGCAGATTAGCATGCGCCCACATCCTGGCGTGAGGTACAGCGGACAGGGTAAGTTGCTCTAGCTTATCCCAAGAGTTTCTTCAGACTTGGGGTCCCAGTGCAGCTCCCTTAGCTGGCATTTATCGGTCTGGTGGGTTTTAGAGCACCCTGCCCGCCGGGGGGGTGTGTGTGTGTATATATGTATGTGTGTGTGTGTATAATTTTATCGATCTATTTACCATCTTATTGAAGAGTAGAATTATTCTGTTTATCTCTGAATTTGGGAAATTTTTAGTGTAGGGGCCCCACACTTAACAGCAGGTAACTGTCCGTTCAGAGTTCTCACAGATTTTTTTATTAGTTATGCTATTATTGATTTAATGTTTTATGTGTCAGATTTTTAGCGATGAGATTGACCTAAATGTCATTGGGTAACTATATGACCGTGTATATTGATTTACTTGAATAGAGATATTGCCTATTCCTGTTATTTTCACAGAGATAATAAAAAGCTTGTTTGTTGTAATATTTTTATTATCCTTTTCCTTAAGATTGAGGGTTTATTTAGATATAAGGGTATCAAGCCTTCGTTACATTCCCCTAAAATAGTTGGTGATAAGCATAATAATACACTGTTACTATCTTAAGAGTGGTGAAACATTGTATCTTTATATATAGACACATTATTTAGTTTATTGCTGCTGGAGCTCTGTTCGAGAAAGGTGACAATTATTTTATTTTTGGAGCACTCACATTTTGGTATTATTTGTTCATATAAATGTATGAACTTACACTGATGTATATTATGACTATTATGAACTTTGAGACATTCCTTGACTTCACATGATATATATATTTTTTTCTTTTTCTCCTCCCCCCTTTTTTTTCTTCTCAATTTTTCATTTTTTACTACTTCATATTTTTTGGCCATTTTCATTGGTCTTTTGATATTGGTTATTAGATAACCCAGACAAGTCTAATCAAAATCAAGTGGTGTACATAGAGTGATTAAGGAAGCATACTGAAGGGATCTTTAATCACTGTTCTATGTGTTTAATAAGTTCAGATACCAAGTTTGTTGTGACTTGGCTAACTGTCATGCAAACTTACCATGTAAATTATTTATGTGATAGTGTGTATATTGAGTTAAAGGGTTACTTCTTTATAACCTGTTATAATCACGGAATAAACCTCGAGGTTTTTGGGTTTTTTTGCATCTAAATTTTAAGTGCGGTATCATATATTATTATAGAACGTAGATAAGGTTGATTTTTGGAGGGCAACCTTGATACCAGCATCGCCTAGGATAGGAGAGTGCCAATACATGTATTGTTGATACTTTTATTTTCACACCAAATTCTTCATGATTCTATAGCAGTAGCAAGTGAGCAAAACCATGTTTAATTTGCATTAATTGTTCATGACTGAAGTTGTCTGTCCTTGCTAAATTGTAAACTCTCTGGTGTTTGTTATAATTCCAGTCACAATGTGGGCTATGTAGTGCAAATAAACTATAATGTTGGTGAAGTTCACCTCTCAGTTAGGTTTGCCTATTATGCTTCCTCGTCTACTTCCAATCCCTTCGAAAAACCCTGTTTATTTTATCTTGTGTATCTACAGAACAATTGACATTCTAAAAACTGTTTTAATTATATTTATTTGCAATAATTTCAAATGTTTTTAGGTTCTATAATTATATTATTATTATTAGTGCTTAAATTCTCACCTGTTTTCTTGCCTTAAAGGGTCACTCTATGCACCAAACAAACGTTCGCATAGCCACATCTGCCTTGCCTGTGACTAATACAGCCTTCCTACACACTTCCTGAAAAAGAACCTAAAGTTTTTAGCATCCCTTATTGCACAGTGTATTTCATTTCTTATAGCCTGCCAGACCCTCCTGTGTGTGATTGACATTCAATTAACAGAACAAGAGATAAGAACTTCTAAAGCAGAGGGGGTCAAAAGGTAGATCCCAGATGTTTTAAAACTACAGCTTCCATGATGCTTTGTCATTCTAAAGGCTTGAAAAGCATCATGGGAGTTGTAGTTCTACAACATCTAGGGGCACCCTGGTTATAAAGTAAAGACAATGTGCTGTAAGATCTGATTTGAAAATGAAACCTTTCTTTTATGTAGGCTGTGAGAGTCTATGGCTGCATTAATAGAAGTGATTTAACTCTTAAATTGCAGAGAACTAATCAGTGAGGCTGCAGGGATTTATGGACCAAAGTGGCTTCATTTGGCTAAAGTTGTTTTGATGATTAGAGCATTCCTTTAAACAATTTCATTTATTTATTTTTTGTATTTGATTGTGTTGGTCAACTTTATTATTTGTTTGTTATATATTGATTTACTATTTCCTCTTTTGTTTTCTTGCTTGTCTTCAAGCGCCTATCAGCTTTAGAGAGTGATTGTACATGCACAGATTCAGTTTCACCAGAAGAATCTATAGGTAAGGGTATAGGTTAGAGAAGTAGAACATATGCCGCCCTGCATTGACTGTCTCTGCAACTTACCCGCCAGTGTTATCTTAATGTGTTACTGATGTTTTCTTGCTACATTAGAACCCATATGTCCCGTATAGGTTGTCAGCTGGCATGTCAACTATTCCTTCTGAGTAACTTGTGACAAGGTGGAATATCCTTGTAATTCATCTGATCTTTTCTTTTTTTTTTTTTAATGTCATTTTATTATGCAATTTTTTTTCTAATTAACAAAGAAATACTTTCTATAATACTATTAACTTTCTTTTGCAAACTTTAAAACAAACCTTAAACAATAGTACAAGTTAGTTGGAGTGCTGTGTAATGGGAACATGCCCTAGGAAGTCCAATTTATGAAATTACTTTACTGACTTATTGAGATAGTCATCTTAAAGTTTGACAAGATTTAGTAACCCAGGGAGTTATTAAATATGTTCTGGTGCCTGACCGCCTAGAGCATTCTACACAAATATACAGAATACAGTTTGATGGAAGATAGTGTTGGTTTAAACTGAAAAAATATCTATCACTGCTTTTGTTTGCACTAATCTGGTGACTTGCATGTTTTTTTTACCAAGAGGTCTCTTAGTTACTCCTTCTATGGAAAGTAGTAGGGTTGTCTTAGGCAGATAGTGATTGCCCTGGTTAAGAAAGTAGGCCGGGCTGTACCGAAATGAATGTTTATGAATTCCACTATGGTGCAACCTGGCAAGTTTCCGGGTGACATACTAACACATACATCTTTTCTGTTTGTAGAATCTCATTTGGCCAGATGACATACTGGTTATTCCTGTAATTAATTTACATCCTATATGAAGAAGAAGAAGAAAATGTTGAAGATAAAGGTTTTGAATCACATTACTAGCTCTAGGAGGGATAAGTGACAAAGAAGATTCATACATAATAATTCAACTAAACATAATATATATAGTTAAAATGACTGTTTTATTCAAAATAATCCCATACACTGAAATGCAACAAAAAAAAACAACAGCTTTTGGTCCTAACACTGGAATGCACAAAGTGTGGTGGATTTTGATATGTATTATAAGAAGTGAGAGGCAGCAACTAAAACCGTGAATATTTTAAAACATGCAAGTGGGAGCGAACCGGAGTTAGAAATAGTTCAGTGTCCCAGTGTGGTCATGTCACCACATGCTGAGTTTAAACACTTAACAGCAAGTTCCATGTTTGTTTAATTGTAGAAGCTCACCATTGAGTTCATACTTAACTTCGCTACGTCTGCCCTGCCATCTGTAGCGAAAAATAGCTGCGTTACAAACTCTTGAGTAAAATCAGTGCATGTCTGTTAAATGAATATGCCTATTCATTTTTTCACTAGCTTCTGAGTATTTTAATGCAGTCCTAGGTTTAGGTAGTTTGCATTCCTAGTAGTACTTGGAGAAGCACAAATGGCACTTTAGAAGTTAGCTTTAAAAGAACACTCCAGACACCAAAACCACTACAGCTTGTTGTGTTTTTGGAGCCAAGAGGGCCTTGGTGCCATCCCCCCTTATCCCCCCCCCTGGGGTATTCCTTTGAGGTGTATATATTATTACAATTAATTTTGTATACATGATTCTAAGAACCTGGGATATCATTGTTGGTGAAGGCGCAACAAAAGGACACTTTGGTTCAATGCTTCCCCATGAGAAGATTTTGATTGGATGAGCGAGGTACATGCATCTTACCCCAAACAAGGGCACTGAATTGGACGAAGTCAGGAAATCACACTGGGAAGAAAGTTAAAAAAAAAAAAAAGTTTTCACTATGTTTTAATGAGCGGTGACGGCATCTAACTAGTGATGAGAACACTACATCTAGTGTAAGGAATGCAGGCTTGTATACCTAACGCTATAGTATTTCTTTAAATGGAATGGCAATATTTTATGAAATTGAGTATATATGTCTTAAGGCTGTCATTTTTAGGGGTTGTTAAATACTGGGTTCAGTTGCTGAGTCACTCTAATGAATGTTGTTCTACGACTCAGCTCTTTCAGTTTTGCAGCACCAACATATGTGCAAGTAGAACGAATCCCACCGAGTATATCTCGAACTGTTTCTTCCACATCTCCTCGGTATGGAACTTCTACTGTTTTCCCCTCGGAAGCTCTACAAGAAAGATTACTTTTTAGATAAATGTTGAAGATATGCAGTTAAATGTCAGTGCGTCTTGGGATATAAAACAATTACTAAAGTGATAATTCAAAGTGAATTGAAAATTTAAGGTCAAGTTAGCCAAACAAGAAACATTCTCTACTTAAATTACCTTTGAATTCTCACTTTAGAGATCTGAAAATAAACCGGATATTTGAACAATATCATTACCTGTACTCAGCCACTCCTCCTGCATGCCTCTTCATAGCTGTCTCTGAACTCATACCATAGAACAGTTTATATTTTTTCCCATTCTTCTCTATGGTTTCACCTCCGGACTCTGTGTGCCCAGCCATCATGCCTCCTAGCATCACAAAATCTGCTCCAGCTCCTAAAATGAATCGGTCTATGTCAAGTAACACGTCAAGCAAAAAGTTCCTAATTCATCCACATAATATAAACTTGAAAGTATTTTAAAACATTTAGCTCCAATTTGTAATAAACAGCATTGATTGGCAGAATCCATAACATTAATAACTAATGCCTTACTTTGCTCACTGTGTCTTCTGTGTATCACTTTTGATTTGTAAGACTACATAAAATGTGTCGGAGATGAAAATTAGGAATAATTAAAGGGACAGGCTATAGTCACCTGAACCACCACAGCTTAATGTAGTGGTTCTGGCGGCTATAGCCTGTCCCTGCAGGCTCTCAGAGAAAAGGTTTACATTGATGCCTACGAACAATTGTAAAGTGGCAATCACTTAGACGCCCACTAGAGGTCCTTCTAAGTTCAGTGCTGCACACTCATTCAGTGTCTCCACGGTCTGCATGGAAATGCTGAACGTTCCCCATAGAGATGCATTGTTTAACCGTATCTCTGAGTAGATGGATATTGTGAAGCGGCCTGCTGATGCAAGACTGGTGCAGCGTGGGAGAAAATGTGAGTAAAATCACTTTTACTGCAATTGGAGGGGGTGTCTCTCACCTAAGCAGCCACTCCCTGACTATAGTGTCAGAAATACACGTTTGTATTCTTGACACTATAGTGTTCCTTCAAAGCATATTTCCATATTGTGCTTTATCCACCAGATATGCCACGTCTATGCCAATTAGTGACAGTGAGAGCAGGAGATTCCTCCTATTCCCTCCCATGCACTCACACATATATCACAGTAAAAGTGTCTTGCTCTTCCTGGGGTAATATAGGAATAAGTAGTGACTGATGTAACTCTGTTCTAAAGCCATCTTAAAAGCATAGCTTTATTACATCAAAATAGTGTGAGAAATACTGTCTGTATGTATAGGTTTCCTTTATTTTTATGAAACAAAAAGGTTTAAAAGGACCACTATAGGCACCCAGAACATCATCTCATTGTCAGTTTTGTCCTGCAATGTAAAACATTAATGGCTAGTAGACATTTTCTTCCTGACAGCCACTACAGTGTTCCTGCTGTTATAACAGTCACATTACATTGTGACACTTGACATCCTCACGCACTGCATAAGGATTTTGTTTTGAATATTTTTATTGTATGCATAACATAGGTTCATACGTCAAACTGATTTGTAATCCTGACATGGTTCAACACAGCCTGCTGTCAACCACATATACATTGTGGATTGCATCACGCACTGCATAAGATTTTGTTTACATGTACATAGGTTCATACGTGTGATTTGTAATAAAGCAAGTGATTGCCCACGCAGGGGCTTAAGCATTGGTTCAACACAGTATATACTTTTGGTTGCCTGCGCAGAGGCGGATCCATCTTAGCCTGTTTAGCTTAACATGTTTTTAAACAAAAAAAAATTGCTTGTTTTTTCTTTTTCTTTCCTTTTTCCCCTTCTTCCTTCTCTTTTTTTCATATTATTATTACTTACACTGTCAGTTGCTGTGCTCTATACTTTTATGACTGTTAGCCTGTCAGTTATTATGTTTTTGTAGCTGTTGTGTGTTTCGTAGGTGCACTTGTTGCTGCGATAACTGCTTGCTCGTTGATGAGGTCTAGGCACAAAATAGCAGAAGTTTTTCAAAAACATAAGGAGCATATAGGCCGCCAAAATAAAATATGTTTTCCTCATATGTAGATGTTTGCTCGGCATCCCTGTGTGTGCTGTTGGTTTTGTTCTCTGATGTGTCTGTTGGTCTGCATGTATTATTGATGTTGATCTTCTCCTTTATCGTAATGCTTTAACCAGTGCGAGTTGGTGGTATTCCCTGGAGGCAGACAGGGGCGGGCCTGCACAAGTCAAACAAGCCCTGGAATAGCATTTATAATTTGTTTGCGTGCATCTCTATGACTTGTTGAGTGTTTCATTAGTGGGTGGATGTGTCTGTCGACCCCCAGGTCCCGTTGTCTGGCCTGAGGAGTGGTATGGCGGTATCCATGGTGTTGTAGCCTTGCCTTTTGTCCCTTTGTGTTATATCTACCATATCTTACTATGGCTCCATTGTTCTGCGTGCTTGTGTCGCTTTATTGGCTGTGGGTGTCTCCATGGAGCTTTTGTTGTGTAGTCAGTGTAGTATTCTGTTTAGCGTGCTGAGGTGGTTTATGGGATAGTTGGACATTGAACTTTGTGGTATGAGCAAAAAGCAATACATGTGTATTCTGACACCGTATCAGACCGGAATTAGTGTTTGCTTCGTGAACTTGGGTGCCTGATGTTCGGTTGCTGACCACTTTGTCCACCATGAATGTGCGTGTCAAAACGTTGCCCGTCCCGTCTCCTGTTCCCAATCCCACCTTCACTCCAGCATGTAATCCTGTGGATTTCTCCTGGTTTATCCTGGGCTGTGTAAGAGCTACAGTCTGGGTGTCAGGTACCAGTTGTGATGTTCTGGTAATGATATCTGATATACGAGTTTGTAGCTTGTGTTCCTATGCTATAGTGTTTTCTGTGTCAGGTCAGGGTTTCCCCAATTGCTTCCGATTTTCCTCATCTCTTCTTCATCTTTCAGTCTGTATCGATCTGCTTGGGATCATGAATGCTCCTTATGGGCAGGAACTCGCATGTGCTCCTCCAATGAGGGGCGGGTGGACTCGTTTTGGTGCTAGGGGTCTAGGGGTGTGGGCAAAGTATTTCCCTGGTAGATGCTGCCATTCTATTCAATGGCAAGTTTTATTGCAGGTACCCTGGACCCGGCACTTGGTCTGGATGCTTTTAGTCCCAAACTGCTTGAGAATTCATAAATGTGAGAAATTAAAGGACAGATGGGCAGACAAGAAAAAACAGAGAAGAAAAACAGCTCTTTTTTTGCTTCTCACCATGATTGTGTGTTTTGGAAATCTAGCTCTGACATCCTTCACATGTTGCACAAACTGCTCAGAATATCCATTAGCAACATCCAGGCAGATATAACGAACTTGAGGTACAGCAGACAGGACTTCTTCAACATGTTGGAAATCTGACTGCCCTTCCAGAGCTCACAGCCACGTTCTGCGGAAGACATATTTTAATATACTCACAGTCATGTACTTCAAAACATGTCAATTTATCTTTTTACAAACTACTACTGTCCACAAGTAATGTTGTAAATATTTATATATTTTAAATAAAGTATTTGGAAAAAAAGAGAAAAACCATGTCTGCCTTTAGTGTATGACAGGATCCTTCAGCCATATACATGCACCTTGGGTCAGTGACCGGCAGTTGGTTTATGTGGCCGCCTTCCCTGCGTCACTCCCTACACAGATCCTGTCACATAAAGGTAGGGATGAGTTATTCTCTCTCTTTTTTTTTTTTTTTTAACAAATACTTTATTTAAAAAAAAAAATCTTTCATTTTAAAGCGTGATGAAAGGGTTATTATATTAAAATACTATTTTGAGGTGACAGTTGTCTTTTAAGTTCTATTTTAAAAGTAAAATGTAAACATTTTGAATGTATATGTAAAAGTTTTAGTATGTAACTATTTTTGTTATATTGTTCAAGGAAGTATAGATGTTATAGCAGACACAGAGCAATCACTTGTTGATTGAAACCTCTGCGTATTCTGGCCACTGAAAATGTAATCCGAGTTGTAGTCTGCAAAGAGGCTATTCAGAAATAAAGCTTTATTCTTAAGTATAACATACACCACCGGACATGTCTCAGTGCACCATTTGTATATTAACTGGCAGTTTTAATGCAGTAGGAGGTTTTCTAAATCTTTAAATCTTGTAAGAAAGTCACTCACATCGAGGCAATCTGGAGAGTTGGCAGCAAACTCTTTCCACTCTTCAACAGAGTAGTGTTTATGTACTGCTGTGAAAAGAGAAAACTGAAAAAAAAAAAAGAATACACAGTGGTGAAATTGTGCAGTGTAATAGGGTAAAGCACAAAGTATGATTCTTTTCAATTGGCATGTAGAACAATCGATCAACTTTATTCAGTTTATAGCAGAGGATCATAGCAAATTATGTTTAGAGGAAAAAAATTGGAGCAACAAAATGTGTAGGATAATCATAATTTGCCTCACCTTGCATAGGGCTCGTGCCATTTCAAAAGTACCAACAGTATCCATGTTGGCTGCAATGATTGGGATGCCATTATAAGTCTGACCAGAGTTTATGAACGTAAATGAACGTGATAGGTCCACCTAAGAAAGAAAATAAAAGAGATCAGACAGATTTGCACCTGCTGAATAGGGATTCTCTGAAGCAAACAGTCACTACCAATGTGGTTTCTACTCTGAGAGATCCATCATGGGACCATTATGGTAGCACAAGCATAATCAGATAATGTTCTAATCCCCCAAAAATAATTAAATATAAAACCAAACATAAAATTATATTCATTATACAATCAACAAAAAACGTGTGTGGGAGATTTATCAAGGCAAAAAAAACAGATGCTATTCTAGGGCAAAGTGTAGAATGTCTCTCAGTATTTAGCACTTTGCACCCAAAATAGCACCTGTTGCTTTATAAATTCCCACTGTGGTGTCTCAAAGAACCACTTCAAACAAATATTTTATGTGTGCAAAGTGTGTCCCTTTTCTTTCATTTTAGAAACTGGCACTTACACAAATGAACATGTTTACACCACCCTGCATGTCAGTCAGGGTTGCTTAGCTGACTGGAGCTAAACTCAAGAGGCAGCCGATTGTTTAGAGCCTTGCAAAGACTTCCTATTGGGCTACATTGGAAAGTTTTGGCTGGGGAAGAAGGGCATGCAAAGACTTTAGACAAAATATATGCAGTGTTTGCAAGCTGAAATACCCCTAATAAAAAATATTAATTAAATGTATGCCTGTTTTCATGGGAGTATACTAAATAGTGATTTATTAATTTGTATTTGGGCAGTGTAGTGTGCCCTTAAATCACATGTTACTGTGTCTTATGTTAACTTGTGCATTAAAGGGAAACAATAGTTTCAGGAACACAAAGTTGTTAAAACCCCTTCTGTCACTTACCAGGGTCCAGTGCCGATGTCCCTTGGCACTGGCTCGGGTCCGCTTTCTCTTCTCCCCTGCCGACGTCAGCCGGCCGGGGAGATCTAGTGCGCATGCATGGCCACGCTCACATAATTTTTTCCCATAGGAAAGCATTATACAATGCTTTCCTATTTAGGTTTTGGGTGACATTGGACGTCTCCACTAGAGGCGGAGTTAATCCTGAAAGCTAATTATTGCAGTTTCTTAAAAACTGCAATAATTAGTTTTGCCAGGTTAAGGGACCTGGGCAGTGCACCCAGACCACTTCAATGAGCTGAAGTAGTCTGGGTGCCTATAGTGTCCTTTAAACATCCCAGCAGAACTGTTAGAATTGTTAGCCTGGTGATAAAGCTCACTGAGATACACTAGTTATCACCAATATCCACTAGATGTCTCCCCACTAGCTTAATCATAAACGAAAAGTAAGCATAAATACATACAGCAACACTTTGTTTATAAGAAGACCTTAAAGAACGCCCAGTGTCGGGCTTTATGCCCCGGTGTGTCCGGTCTGCCTTGTGACGTCCGTCCGTGCTGTGTAGGTGAGGGGTGTGATACCTGGTTCGGTATGTAGGGTGTGGTCGCATGTCTCCTTAGTGGCTATGATATTGGAGCATCCGCTCCCTCTCTTCGGTATTGTGCTTGTATGGGTCATCTTTTGGATTGCATGCGTGCTACTGTCTGCCGCGGTGGTGTGTCCTAGCTCGTGTATGTTTTTGTCTCACATGTGATCTCGCTACGTGTGTTCCTATCTGGGCGCGTGTCCGTTGCAGTTCCTGGTCAGGGCCTCCCTATTATCCGGGCCTGTGAGTGGTGTCATTCTAGTGGGGTAACTTGGCTGGTGGCGCTATCTTTCTGCCTGTGTCGCACCGACTGTATGGGCGTGATGTGGGTGTGGGTCCAGCGTGTCTGGGTGTCAGTCCCTGTATTCTCCTATTTCCCGTGGTTCCAGCGTGGCTAGTTGTTTTAATTCCTACTCCATCTCAGGCTTCTGTTTGGTGTCACCTGTTGTGTCTGTGGGTTGCCTGACGACAACGTGTGTGTGGTGCACGTCGTATGTGGCATGTCGTCCCTGCGCTAGTGTGATGGGTGGGGTTT